GCTGAGTGCGGCCTCTGGGCAGCACACTTCTGGGCGGGGGAACCTGAGGGACACTGAGTCCTCGTGGGCCAGCAGGAGGCACGGAGCAGCAGACTCAGCTGTGTGGGAACCTTATTCTGCTCTCCTCCTGGGACAAGGCCGGGGGTGGGCATGGAGAGTCCCAGAGATAGTCCTGGGGTACCTCCAGGTGGGTAGGGGCGAGGGGTTGTGCCCACTGTGTAGTGGGACCCTCAGTGGGGCTTCTCTCTGAGGCAACGCTGGGCCCCCCACCGGAAAGGTGAGGGTGGAGGGAAGGGGTGTTCACGCCGAGTCTCCTGGAGTCTCACCCCAAGATGAACTTCTCATCTGCCCAGTGCCTCGCCCAGGGCTGCAGAGGCTGCCCGACTCCTCCTGTCTGACATGTGGGCCAGCAAGGAGCTGCAGGGCATCCTCAGACAGGTAAGGCCCTCACCTTTGACCCCGCTGGCAAGGCTCTCCCACACTCTGCCTGCCCTGGTTCGGGTCCGCATGGATCAGGAAGAGAGACGTAGATCTCAGGCCCCATCAGGTCAGGGAGACTGAGCCTCACTCCAGACGAATGCGCGTGACAGTGGACGGGGCCCAGGCTCCGACACTGCTCAGCCCAGGGTCTGAGGAGGAGGTGCTGGGTGCGTGGAGGGCAGAGGAGTGGAGGAAGTGTGTCAGGTCTGGGGTGGGCCCCCCAGGAGCTAACTGAAAAGCAGGTGGGCAAAAGGCACGGCATTCACCTGGGGGCGTGGGTGTGCTGTGGCTGGGGTGGCAGGTTACCCCTTCAAGTTCAAGCTAAAGAGTTTGCTTTCGGCCCTGGGGAGACACTGGGGGTTTGGAGGAGAGAGTGTCAGGGTGAAAGCAGCTCTCAGAAGACTGCCTCCCCACGCTGTGTGGCAGAGGGGACGAGAGACGGGGCTGCTGGACCTGTCCAGGGATGGCCCTGCTCCTCCCTCCTCGGTATCTGCCACCTCTCCAGCCGCAGAGCCAGGCCTTGTGCTGTCGGGGCTTCACACCAACCCGGCCCCACCTCTGTGGTGTGGGCAGGGGTGAGGTGGCCTTAACGGGCAGGAGACAGAAGAAGTGGGACCGTGGGGCTGGCGGGGCTCAGGCTTCTGGCTCGGACACCCTGTGGCTACAGCAGAGACAGGTCAGCCAGGGAGCAGGCAGGGCTTCTGGGCGGGGCTGGGAGGAGCCCTGACTGGGAGACGTGGTCCCTCTCCTGGACCTCAGCCAGCCCCTCCAGACTCCAGTCTCCCATCAGGGCTCCTCCCAGCGCCCCTCCGAGGCTGCTGGGCCTGACCTCCCTGCCCAGAGCTCTTGTTGGGGTTTTTAAAGAAAGCAGAGCAGTCAGAAGGCAGAAAACAAACCCCTTTCTGCTCTGATCTTGGTGCTTGCTCTGTTTAAAGAGGAACCAGCATTGGCTGAATCCTCCTGCCTTGGTGCAGACTCCTGCGGAGGCAGGTGGGACACTCGTGTGCTGGGGGGCCTCCAGACACATCTCAGCTGGCTCACGGACGTGAGTGGCCTTGTGTTTGGTTGCACATTTGATTGGACCGGCTTTAGCCCTGGCACACACACAGAGCGTGTCCTGAGGGCCTGGGCAAGCCCAGGGGCCCTCGGGGGGCAGTCTCGGGCCCTGCAGGACGCCTCACACCATCCATCCTAGGCTGTTTCCAGCAGCTGCTGTCTCTCCCCTGCAGCAAGGTCTCGACAGGAACATGCTGGGAACCTTGGCCGGGCCCAGCAGCTTCAGGAACTTCACGTCCCGGTTCTAAGAGGAGGCTGCCCAGGGAAGTCCAGCTTCCAGGTAAGGGCCAGCCCCCTGGGCAGGGATGCCCAGGACCCCACAGCAGCCTCAGCCAGGCTCAGAAGGGGCCAGGCCACTTCCCCAGGGACACAGACGCAGCCTTTGGTCGGCAGACACGAGGTTTGTGAGGACAGCCGTGTGGACCACCTGGCCAGGGTGCCACTGCCTGTCCCACCCCAGGACACCAGGGACGTGCAGTGTCTTGGTCACATCACAGGCCAGAGGTCTGGCAGAGCTGCTGGTATGGCCGTGTAGGTCGCACACTGCACAACCCAGGGGGTGCCGTCTAGTGGACTGCAGTGTGAACGGCGCCCCTGCAGTCACACAGGATGTTGTTCAGCGTTGGGCTTCTGCAGCTCACCTTCTTGTCCCTGATATGGCCCATTTCCCAGTCTCTGCACACGTCTCGTGTGGACAGGCTGATTTCCAGCTGATAGATCTAGAGGCGAAAAACTCAGATCCAGTATCTCTGACAAAGACTTGTAAACCTGCGATTTCATTAGCCTCGCTGGGACACTTGCACACGCTCCTGGTCCCACTCAGCAGTTCTGACTCTGTAGCTCCTGGGTCCAGGAAAATACATTTTAAAATAAGTATCCAAAGTGATTCTGATGCAGGTAAGCCCAGGGCCAGGCTCAGATACTCAAACCAGGCATCGTCAACCCTCGAGGGTCACCAGAAGCGGCCCTGGGGTGGAGCCACCTGCAAAGAGTCAGGGGTGAAGACAGGGTCTTCTGAGCTCAAGGAGGACTTCCTGGTGCCCTGGTGTCTGCCAGCACCCCAATCCCGGCACCTGAGGAGGCTCCTGGTGGGGGGAGGGCTGCAACTTTTGTCCAGACAAAGGTTCACTGAGACCTTGGACACCCTCTCCTGGCAGACGGGCTCCGACAAGAGGAGAGCAGGAAGAGACAAGCCGGATTTGGCAGGTGCCTGACGGGCACAGCCTAGGTGCTTAGCGCTGCGGTGTGCCGGGCACCACGGAGGGACAGGGTGGGCGGGGGGCAAGGCTGACGAGCTTCTGACCCAACAGGAGCAGCCTATGAACGTGTCGAGGGACAGCCTGACCCCGGTCTCGGGCCTGGGGCGCATGGTGGGAGGAGGGATGTGCTGGTGAGAATGGCAGTGTGGATGCATCTCCTTGGCTGCTGACCGGAGGCCTCCTCCTTTTCCAGAAGTGATCGGACCCAGCTGAGAAGACCCAGGCCTTGCTGGAGGGGTTATTCTGTCCACCTGTGCAGTATTTGGAAACATTCAAACGCAGCTGAGAGCAAACCGGGACGCGGCGGATGACGGATTTATTTTTAGATTTTTTTTCCTTGGGGGAACTGACAGGCGATGGGGGTTGGGGAGGGCGGGGGGGCTTTTCTTGAGTTAAGGGGGCTTACATCTAATGTTAATACTTCTTTCGCTGAGAAATGGTACATATACACGTTTGTCATGTGTGTGTGCACGTGCGTGCACTAGTGCTGACAGCCGGACCTCAGACTGCAGAGCTGGGTGAGCTGTTGGCTTGCAGCCGGGCACGACACGCCCTCGTGGGCATGTCCATGTACTGTTGGTTTAGCTGCCCCTGGTTTCCAAAGTGTGCCATGCCAGGGCAGGGGTCCTCCCCAGGGCCAGGCCCACGAGGTGTCCTGCAGGGGGCGGGAGTAGCTGGGGCTGGGGCTCCCCCTCTTAGGAGGCGGCTTTGCAGGAAGGGAGGTTGGCAGGGTTCAGTGTATCTCCTGGGAAAATCGAGCTGTCTGATTGTGGCGGCCTCCCCGCAGTGCCACGGGGACGGGGCTGGGCGGGGCGTGGGCTCCTGAAGACGGGCCAGGACAGGCCTGCTTGCTTTGCTATGTGAAGTCTGCCCCGAGAGTCAGAGCCAGCGAGGGGGGCTGGCCACTCTCTCAGGCTGCATGCCTGTCAGAGAAGCCTCGGCCTGTGAAGCCCCTGCCTTCAGGGGGCTTGTCACCTACTTTTTGCAGGAGGAAGAAGGCAGCGTGGTGCTCACAGCCCAGGAGCTGTCGGGACGGCTGCTGGTCTTCATATTCCTGGGGTGAGGGCGGTGGGCAGGCTAGGCTGGGCAGGGACCCGCTCCAGCCTCAGAGGGAATTAGCCAGGAGGGTACTTCCCAGGGCGTGGGCCGAGATTCAAGTGAGTGGGTGTTTTGGGTCCCGGGAGCCTTGGAGGAAGGGATTTGGCTAGATCAGAAGGGACTATCACATCAGAGCACCAGCCAGCCCAGCCATGGCTGTCTCTGCTCCTTCCCCGGAGCCCCAGCCATCTGTCCCTGCTCTGTGTTTGTGAAAACCACAGGGGACGTGATAAAAGAGGCCCATCAGGGGCACCTGCCACACCGAGACCCCCAACTCCTTTGCATTTCGGGTGAGAAGCAGAGGAGGGGCCTCCTGAGGGAGAGGCTTGTGCAAATAGCCCTGAGTCTGTCCTGCACGATGGGGCAGGCCGTGGCGTCCCCAGGCCTCCCTGGCGGCAGCCTCCCGGCCCTGCAGCAGCGATGACAGGACGCAGGACGGAGCCTAGGTCCTCTGGCACTGAAGGTGCTCCTCCCTCCTCCCCGCAAGTCTCCTCCCCGCCCGCACTTCCCCCCAGTCCGGCCCCACTGCTCACCCCAGGAGGCAGAACAGAAGGACCTCTGGGCCCAGCACCTGTCTGCTGGGGGACCTGGCAGCGGGACGGTGACAGGCCGTGCGGCCAGCACCTGTCTGTCTGCTGGGGGACCTGGCAGCGGGACTCAGGGGGCAGACACACGATGACAGGCCGTGCGGCCGACCGGCCTCTGCTGCTGGGATCGTCACCCCCTCCCCGTCACTCACGGAGGACATCTGCTCCTGGCCCGCGCCTCCCTCTCAGGGGCAGCTGGTCCCAGCAGACTGTCCCGGGTGTAGGTTCGGGGTGACCGCTCTGCTGGTCCCCGGGCCCAGAGGAATTCGCTTCTTAAAGAGACGCTGCGGAGCCAGCAGTGGCATAAGCTCTTGGGGACCACACCCCGTGCTCATGGGGCTCACCTTCTCCTGGGGAAAGAAGAGGCCTGTGGTCCCCAGTATGAGAGGACTGTCCAGGGAGAGAGGGAGACAGCCCCTGACCAGCGAGCCCACGACCACCCCGGGAGGCGCCCGTCCCTCGGCGCGGCCTGACTGCTCGAAGCCCTCCTTCCCTCGCGGGCGAGGAAGCCCAGCCCAGCCTTCACCTTGGGGATGGGCAGTTTTTCAGACCCAAGTAGGTGAGGGGACAGTGAGGCCAGGCCTGGTCTGGTCATCTCTCTTGTGACTTCTGCGGCCAGCCAACCGGGACTGTCACTTTGGAGGAGGCCACACTGGGAGGGGCCTGCAGGTGCACCTGCTAGAGACAGGAGCCAGGGTTCTGTCGGGCCGCCCACATCCAGGCCCCACGGAGGCACAGCTCCGTGTGTCAGCTGCATCTTGGCCTCATGCCCCAGGCTCGATACCCAAAACAAGACACTCCTACGTGGGCCCAAAGACACAGGCCCTCAGCGTCTCCCTGTCCCTGCCCCGACCCAGGGCCTCTGGTGCTAGGGCAGATCCGGTCACTGGCCACCAGCAGCCTGCCCAGTGGGGCCAGCCCAGCAGTGCGACCCCAGCTGCCCCAGGGCCGCTCTTGTCCACCTTGGAGCCTGGCCAGGAGGGGGCAGGCTGGGACGGTCAAGGCAGGGGCTCTGGATGGGTGGGTGGGGGGCAGAAGGGCGATGTCGAGGGCGCTGCA